TTGGAAACTTACCAGGATTTGTAATCTTGATGAAGCAGCAGGCATGAGTCAAACAAAGGAAGGGATTAGACTGATTCAGAATTACAAAGTGACCTTGAAAGTGGTAATGAGGTTGGACGTCTCCATTTCGTGTAGCAGTAGAGTATTTTTTTGTCCTAAGCAAGGGAGTCTTGCTGAATTCTTTGGTAACATTGTTCAAGTCCTTTCAAGGATATCTTAGTCCTCTGTCCTTGACAAGTTAAAATACTCAAATATTATATAGTTTGAATTGTATTGTATGTGTTGAGCATGGCCCAGTTTCCCTGGGGGACCAGTGAATCACCTATTAGAGAGCTTTTTGGGTGTTAATTCTTGCCCTAGATCATGGGGTTCTTAACCTTATTGCATGATAAAGCCTTTGGCAGCCTGGTGAAACCTATGGACCCCCTTTCAGAACACTTTTTTGTTTCTTTGTTTGTTTTTGTTTTTGGTGAGGCAGTTGGGGCTAAGTGACTTGCCCAGAGTCACAGTTAGTGAGTGTTATGTGCAGAATGTTGTAAATGAACAAAAAAAATGTGTAGAATTATAGAGGAGACTATATCGAAATATAATTATTAAAATATTAAAAAACAAAGTCACAGACTTCAGGTTAAGAATTTAAACCTTAGACTAGGCAAACTTGGCTTAGATGGTTTGGGCAGAGGCTACTTAAGGCCTGAAAGGTTAAAAAAAAAAAGGATCTGAGTTTAATAACCTCCTCATCTGCTTACTCCCAACTTTCTTCCCATGAAGTGAAAAAGTCTAATAATGTCTCTGAAAACTTGGGAGTACTGATTTAAGTTAAAAAGGATAAAGAAAATAGCTTTTATGGCATCATGAGGCCCATGCAGGAGCAACTACAATTTCCCTCAGTTCTTATTGGAAAAGATTTCAGAGATCAACTCATCTAGTCCCTTCATTTTACAGATGAGGAAATCCAGGACCAGAGAGGTCACCCAGCCAGTAAGGTATAGAGTCAAGAGTCATACTCAGGTCTTCTAGCTTCTAGTGCCATGTCCTTTCTACCACAACTCATCCATGCCTCATGATATTCCTTCTTCTTGTCTCAAGTCCCAGCTGGCAAGTTTCATCACCTTGTATGTCACTATTTTTCCATTATTTCCCATGGACATCCATTCCCAGCTGTCTGGGGAAATTATATACTTTCTTCTTCTCCTACACCTTCTTTCCTCTGCCTCCTGAAAATAGTAGTGTGGTAATGAGGAAACTGCAATGACTTGGAGTTAGGAGACTGAATTCTGGCTCTTTGGGAAAGTCACTTGTCCTTCTTAAGCCTTAGTTTACTTAAAATATAAAATGAAGGAGTGGAGTTATATGTATGATCTCTAATAGCCTTTTCAGCTCGGGATTATGTGAGCCTTTGATTCTAGTATACCAATCTCTTAGTTGTTTAAAATAGTGATTTACTAAAAAATACCAGAGAGGAAAACAAAAATAGGTGCACTATAATAGCTGAAATGAGCAAAGATTCGCTATTACAAAACATCTTAGGGTTTAATCCTGGTCCTAAGCACCACCTGCAAGCCCATTCTTCTTAGCCCTTTCCTGCTTAGCCAGCTATCTTGTTTTGTCCTTGACATTAACTCAAGGCTAAGTGTGTTTGCTGTCTCTAGGGTATATGTGTCAAGCCTCTAGCATCTGTTTCAGCCCTTATTAATACATTTGGGAGTCTAGGGCCCCTCTGCATCTTTCTGATTGACTCTCCCATGGGATTTTTCCTCTTTGAAGTCTACTTTGGTGGTCTAGGCAGTTAATGAACTTTGAGGTCAGCAAGTAAACTGCTAAGAAAACTGTAAAGAAATGGCAAAGAAAAGAGATTAAATTAACTTGTGAAGGATGTAGGCACTTGCATTTTAGGATGTAAAAATGTGGTTATGAAAAAAGCAGAAGAATGACTTTTTAAAATTAAAAAACTGAAGAAATAATAATTTTTGAATAAAATGTGAGGGACATGCAGACTGCAGGGAAACCAAGTAGAAAACTGATAGAATCTGTTTGAGAATAGGACAATGTGATCTCTTAGCTCATTTGCACGTACCTTTCTGGAGCTTGAGTAGTTAAAACTCAGAAAGTGATAAATCAAGCAGCTGTGGGTACACTATGATTAAATAAGGACTGTTCATTTCATAACTAACAGAAAGATAGATTTCATGAGTTTTACTTTATAAGAGAAAGATGAGTACTAGGAGGGTCTGATTTGAGCCACCAAGAATTCTGAAGAATCCATTAGGAGATGAATTACAAAGTTAATGGGAGCAGTTAAGAAAGCAGCAGGAGATGAATGAGATGTTAACAAAGGAGTCAGCTAATGGGAAGGCTGCTGTGTTGGGAGATGGCTGGAGCTTGATAAAGTTCATTAGAAAATAGCTGAATTTTGCCTGTTCCCATTTAGAGTCACCTATAGCTAGAGAGAAAAACCTTTCCAATGGGCTTGGTTGCTGTACACTGATCCTTTCTGATTTAAGAGGGCAAAGCAGAGGGGAAAGTGAAGCTGTGCAGGTTTTTTGTTGTGGATATAAATGGAAATTGATTGACAGAACATGCTGTTGAGCTGGCTGGGCTTGTCTGCATTGCCCAGAAAACCAACCTGAGGAGATTTGCAGTTTTTTGGTTTAAGAGAACTGCTTATTATTATAATAATGTAATACTTGCTCAGTTTCCTTTCAAGGGTGATTAAGAGCCAAAACAGCTTGTCACTGCTTCATCAGCTTGAGAGCAGAAGAGGAACAGATTTGTGAAGTACAGGTTGTTCCTGAAAAGATCAAGGACATCAAGACCTGTTGTTCAGATTTGTGAATTTCCCTGAGCACATGGATTTTCCTTGCTCATGTCTCTCCTTCTAGGTTTCTATAGGTATCTGCCTACTCTTCTCTGTGGTCACTATGTTATACTGGTGGGAAATTGTCACCCATGTTTATGTATGGTCCATGATGTATTGAAAATTCCCACACATACTTTAAATTGAGTTAACTGTGATGATGCTTATTGTCATTGCATTATTATTAAGTAAATATTTTATGTTTGAGATAATGGGCATTACTGTGATTAGTTAATTTTGTGTAGATACCAATAAGAGCTCAAAAACTACAGTGACAAATATAGGGAATGGATCCTGCCATCATAATAGGGTTACCACTAGTTGTAGCCCCATGGTAATAGTTTTTTTTTTTTTTTCTGAGAACCAAGATCTACTAATGTGAGGCAGTTTGGGGTGATCAAACCAGCTCAGAAACAGTGGGTGGCCCATGTCCCATTCAAAAGGCTATCCTGGAAGGGGTTACATTAGACTATGGTATTATTGGCTAGAAGGATGTATTGAGAGGCTAGTTTAGCAAAATGTCACAGTATGGCATTGCTACATCATAATAATACCCATTAAAAAAGATTACGGAGGGAAAAAGAGTGAAGACTGGAGATCCAGCTTTCCTTAAGTGTAGGCTTATTTTGTAACACTATGGTTGGGTGATATTTATTATTATTATTATTATTATTATTATTATTATTTTACTTACACTAAAGTGAGGGGCTGAGAAATGAAAGTTAGGCAGTTCCAAGGAACGGCTTTTAGGCCTTATGCAAAAAATGTGGAAAAGAATTTGCTGTCACTATAAAGACTGGCCCAACCTGAGTAGCTGTTTGAAATCAGAAAGTTTTGGCCAAAGTTGCTTCTTTCCTTCTTTCCTCCCATCTCTGATTTTTTTTTTCTTCCAATCTCTAACTTATCTTTTTTGTTGCTTTTTACTCGTTTTTTCCTTTTCAATTTAGGATGAAGCTCTGGTGCTGTTCAGCCTCAACCACAGCTTGCTGCTCTCTGTGTAATTCAGCATTAGCTGCCATGGTAGTTATTGTAAGGAAATCACTCTGTAAACTCCCAAGAGTCCTGGACTTCAGAAGACTTATGTTCTGTGGGAGATGCAGGGCTGTCACTTATTTGCTTATGTAGCTTTAGGCAACTCATTCAGTCTTTGGCTTAAATTTTCTTATCTCTAAAATGGGAATAATGATGCCTACCCACAGAGGTTTTTTCGAGGAACAAAGGAGGCAATGTATATAAAGTAATTTGCAAACCATAAAATGCTACAAATTAAACACACATTTGTTTAAAGCATATCGTGGCAAAAGACTGTGCAAAGACCTTGGACCTGTCTCTCACCTTCTCTGGGTCCCTGTTTCCTCTGGCTAAAATGAATGGGGTTGGGTTAAGTGATTTCTAAGATCCCTTGCAGATCGAAGACTTCTGTGATCCTGTTCTGACGGATGGCAAGCCTCTTGGCAGCGACTTTCAGCAAGCCCCCGCTAGGCCCTTACAAATAGGACGATGAGATAATCTTTGATTGCGGTCCTTTAAATACGATGATTTCCGTTAAATGTCAGCTATTATTATCCGGTTTCCTTTCCTTTTTCTATTACATGTCTCCTTTTTATTTCCTGCTGTTTCTGCCGAGCTCAAATTCACCTCTTTGTCGTGTTCCACATTAAGCGCGTCAATTTAGGGACCGGGCACTGGGAAAGCAGAGGGGCGTGTGCCCCTCGGGGAGAGCTGCCAGGGTTCCTCTTTATTGCCGTGGCTCCCTTGTCTGCATTTCCCCCGCCTGCCCCTCCTAGAGGCGGCCAGAGCAGACGTGCCCTGTCACCAGGATCTCTAAACGGATGCTGCAGGCGGGCACACGAGCTCCAGGTGCCACGTCTATCATGCCAGCAGCGCAGCGGCGGCGCGAGGCATGGAGGGAGGGGGCGGGGGGAGAACGGGAAGGGAGGGCGGGAGGCTGGCAGGGGAAGGCCGCGGGCCAGGAGGCTGAGGTGCTGGAGGCCCGCCCAATAGGAACGCGACACGCCATGCGCGAGGGGGCGGGGGTGAGGGGAGGGGGCGGGGCCTAGGCGGTTGCTGCCTCCGCCGCCGCCGCAGTTGTGAGCTGGGATAGTCAGCGGTGCGGTCAGTTAGGCAGCCCGGGAGACAGGCTGGCAGGCGCGCGGTCGGCTCGTCGCATCCCTCGGCCTCCTCTGCCCCCGCCCTCGGAGCTTCTCGCGCACGCGTTCCAGTCCCTGGGCATCTTCCGCTCTCCTCCCACCCCTCCGCCTTTTGCTGCGCTCTCCAAGCCCCCGGCCCCGAGCTCGCGCGCCCCTACCTCTCACCATGTGCGGTAAGATGGGGTTGGGGGGTGGGGGTGCCAGGTGAGGGCTCAGAGAGAGGGGCTGGGGCTGCGGGGAGCAAGGCTGGATACCGTTGGGAGGAGGGGGGCGTTCCCCAGAAGGAGGAGGGGGTGGCTGGGGGGGCAGGTTGGATGGAGGGGATGGGGGACCTGGGTTCTGGTCCGATCCCCCGGGGTGGCCTGGGCAGGGAGCCTCCTGCCCCGCTCCCGGTCCGGGGGTCTAGAGCGAGGGAGGGTCCACGACTCCGCCCCCTCCCTTCCTCCTTCTCTCCCTCTCCCCCATCCTTTTAGAGTTTGGGGAAGGTGCAGGAAAGAACCCCTCCCCCTCCTCCGTGGGCTGGGGAGAGGAGAAGGGCCGGGGTGCCTTCGGGAGGCAGGGCAGGGGAGGGAGGTGGCCGAGACGGGCCCCTGGGTGAGGGGAAGGGGACGCGGGAAGTCCGAACCAGGCTCTCTGGGGTTGTCCAGGGAGGGGGCGTGGTCATCGACAGAGTTCTGGGAAGCCCCTGTGGCCCCTGCTCCGTGTGCCTGTCGGGAGGAAACGGGGGGCCTGGCGGGGACCCTACCACAGAGCAAGGGACTGGGTGAGGGTGTATTACAGCCGGGAGAGGGAGAGAGAGGGGCTGGGGCCGGAGTCGGAGCACCGGAGTAACCCTCCGTAAGTACTTGAAAGGCGTGCCATATGGCTTGGTCCCACAGGGCAGCCGAGGAGCACTGTGTGGAAGTGGCCAAAAGGCCACTTTTTAGGCTTAACGTGCTGAAAAATTGTCTAATAATTAGAACTGTCCCGGAGTGGAAAAGGCTGTTTCCTGGGGCAGTGAGTTTCTCATTAAATGGAGGTCTTCAAGCGATGGCAGTAGGACTGCTTGGGATGCTGTCAGTGGAAGGGATTTGTGTTCCTCTATGATCGAACTAGGAAGCCCAGGTGTTATTCTGTGGAGAAAATATTTGTAAAGTGCTGGCACCGTGCCTTGCACATAAGTAAGTGCTATGTAAGTGCTAGCAATTATTATTAATTATAGATCATTATTATTATGGTGAAAGTCAAGTGAGACTGAAGGGATGAGGTCTCAGTTTACTTTAAATGGGTCCTTTCCAGCTTGACAGTGCATATAAAGCTTTAAAAATCATCTCAGTTTATGCTGTCTTTACTCATTACTGAAATTATTTCCAAATCAGTGGACTTATTAAGTAACTGTAAGTGCAGGACCTTATCCTTTGAAAGGAGATGAGGAGCCTGTTGCAAATGAGGTACCCAGCTCATCAGAGCTAACAGGCCCATTTTCTCTATGTGGACACAATCTCTTCTTACTTACATAGCTGTGCTTTTAAATGAGTGAATATGATTCATTTCCTGTACTTCTTTAAGAATCTGTGACTTTAATCAATGTAGGTCTTCACTTGTGCATTGTGCAGCATTTCTGTGAAAATGAATGAAACAAGTATTTTAGGCTTGGATATGTGGAGTTCACTGTTAAATACTGGGGATACCAATAGAAAAACAACACAGTTCTTGTTCAGATAACACATAACAGGAAGGGACAGCATACATAGAAGGTTTCAGCTGCAAGTTAGGTAGAAAGCCCAGGGGTCCTTAGGGTGCAACAGGCAAAGCAGATACTAATGCATCTTCTTTAATATAATTTCCATTGGTAAAATCATATCCATTTTTGAAATTGAACTATTGACCATGCCAAGGACTTTGTTGGTGAGAACTTCCTTTTCTGGATCTTCACTGTAGTCACGGCTGCTGAGGAGGCAGTCTGCAGCATCTGCCATGCCTCATTTCCACAAGGATTGCTCTTCCGAATAAGGGCTACAGGGGCTAGGCTGGTAGGAGGGGGTGGTCTGGAGGTTATTGCTATTCTGGATCTCTTCAGCTTGCTTACTCTAAAGTTGATTGGTGTTTATGGGGATGACTGGCCCCTTCTCCACAGGTTTCTCTTCTCTGTGGTGACTGAGAAGAGAGGTCAGGCTGTAAGCAGAGTTGGTGATCCTAGCTATTCCTAATGTTGGGCTTGTCTGGCACTCTGCTCCTTAGTAGATGGATTTCATTAGTTCTTGGATGAAAACATAAGGTACTTGATGGTCAGCCCTTTAGTTTCCAAACTAAAGCTGAAAAACTAAAAATGAAAGTTTCCAAACTTAGCTAGAATGGTTTTTCTGAACCAAACACACAGTACAGTAGCAGCCTTTATTATTCTATTGGCCCTGCAAGAACTTGTCTTATACAAGTAAAGTTTTCAAGGACCAAGTTTGGAAAAGCTCATCACCACCAGGTGAAGAATTAATTTTTTTTTTTTTAATCTATAGTAACCCATGGAGAGTGTCTACTTAAAGCATTTCCAAGAATGTTTAAAAAATTAAGACTATTGTGTATTCTTTTTTTTCTGGATGTTTGTCTCTTTTAGTGTTTATCTAGAAATATGTGTTAAAACATAATTAACATTCATTAAAGCATCATATGCATTTATACTACCTACTATATAATATAGAAATATTGTAATTAATTGTCAGCTATCAAAATGACTGTGTCCTTTGCTTCTTCATTGAATCACATCCTGGAGTGTGCTTTTCTCTGTTTCTGTGTGAAGTATTCCTCTCCTAAGGCCCAGCTCAGATACCACCTACTCCAAGAAGTCTCTGATCTCGTAGCCAATAGTGCTCTTGTTCTCCTCAAGTTTTCATAGCACAAACACTTTGTCTAGATCTCTTCTTTGTCCTTAGAAAAGGTAGCATATGAACTTATTTATTTGTATATGTGTCATAGTCTTCCTACTAGACTCAAATGCCTTTAAGGTCAGGATTACTGTTTTCTAAAAAATTTATTTTTGTGGACTTAGTTTTCAACAAACATTCAGTATACAAAGCATAACCAAAAAAGACGATTATATAGGAATCTGTGAACTCCTTTTCCATGCATTTAAAAAAAAACCTATATTAAACTTAAAGTAATAACAAAATTGCTTTGTGTCCCCTTCTGATTTTTTTTTGTATTTTTAAAATTTATTACAGTTGACCTTTCTTCTAATCCTTCTCCTTCTCCCCCTTCCCCTCTCCTCCTCTTCTTTTTCTCTTTTGTTTTTTATATCTCAGTACCCAGTAACTCATGTACCTCCTCTCCAATAAGCAGAGTTAAACAAAATCAATCACAGGCCATATCTGAAATCCATATGCATTGTTCTGTACTGCTGATCCATTAGTTCTCTGCCAAGAAGCAGGAGGCATGCTTTACTACCAGCCTTCTGAAGTTATGATTGGTTATTTTAATTAGAGTTCTGAAGTCTTTCATCGTTATTTTCCTTTAAATTATTGTGATGCACATTAATTACTATGCATCAGGTCATAAAAGCCTTCCCAGGTTTCTTTGAATCTGTCATACTTGTTTCTTTTTTGTACAATAATATTCTGTTGTCCATATGCCATAATTTGTTCAGCCACTCCCCATTGATGTCATAGGTCTTTATATCACCTGCACCTAGCATAAGGTTTTTTCTCCATTATTCCATTGTAGCTATGATATTATTAGTGTTTCTTCTAAGGATTCAGGTAATTGGGGCCTTTTAATCCTGTCTTATTTTTGCTCATGCCCTTCCATATCTCCCCTCTTGCCCCAGCATTTCCACCTAATATTTTAGGGGCCTTTCTTGGGTTCTGTTGACATTTTGAGAATACCAGTGGAAGATGGGGACTGACCCTTGGTTATCCCTTGCTCTCGCCACATGCCCAATCTCTCTTTTTCAGTCATACTTTTTTGGATGGTATCCTTCACATTGCTTTTCCATACGTAATAACTTTATAATGTATTGCAGCCTGCTCATGCCTACCCATGCCAACTATGAACTTTCCAACTGTCCTTTAACTGATCCCCAACTTCAGTTCATAGGATACTTTTGTGTTCCATGACTTGCAGCCTTACAGTATTATGGAAGAATATTGTTATTTAAAAGAGTAGCCTTTGTTTGATGGAGAAGCTTGGGGGTCATTAAAATAACTTAGCTTACTCTCCTCTTGCTGAATTTTGGACCCAGCTCATGGTCCTTTTGACTTGGTGTTTGTCCAAGATATTTATACTGTTAGGTGAGTGCTATAAATTGTCCATCCAACTGCATGTTATTGTCTGAGCAATAGGCATTTTTCATTCTAAGTGGGCTCTTAGAAAATGTTTTTTGGATTGTTGAATCAAAACCTGTAATTGTCTACTGTATATCATCCTACTTCATCTGGAGGTGTTTGTGGTATCATAGAAGCTAGATGGGATCTGAAATATACTGTGAAGTATATGGCTTGTTGTTCATTAATATTTTTTTTTCCTCGTTTAACTTCTTAAGTATGCTGATTTTAGCCTCAGAAGATGAAAACTGTATTAACGCTAAGAATAGACTCTATTTGAACGTTATAAATAACTTGCTGAAATTAGTATGTATAAGATGCCATAAATTAAACCCTTTGTTTAATCAGTAGCGCCATTTTGCAACTGACAGCTTAGTTTCAGAAAAGCATGCTAGTGTAGTTTCAAACTGGCTCCTCAATAAGTGTTTCATTTAGTATTTAAGGAACTTTTCCTGAATAGTGAGTAGTATGTACATAAAGTACCAGTACTGTTTTTTCTTGTTCCTGAAAAAGTAGAAAGTAGAAAGAAGTATTGTATTTCAATTAGGTACATATCAGAAATGTTTATGAGTATTTAAGAGTTTGTGGATTATGCTTTAGAGGAAGGGTGGTGGCTATTTAGTCTGATTTTTAAAAAGCGCATAGCAAACATCCCCATTCCACACCTATGAGGTATAAAAGTTCATCTTTATTGATGGGGAAAGTGAGTCTCAGAAACAGGAGTCAGAAGGTTAAGACTGAGCTAACATTTGAAGAACTTTTAACTCCTAGTTCTTTACTCCTATCAAAGCCTAGCAAGATTCCAGGTATGATTGGAATTTGGTGGAAATTAGAATTTTTTTTTCTTATAAAATACACGAAAAAAGTTCCTGGAAATTAGT